AGCCAGGCCCTTGTGGGTGGGCACTCCCCAGCTAGAAAGTGCTCTCTTCTCTCCAAGAAAATCCAAAACGTGAGATTTTGCATCACCAGAGTTTTACAATGTTCACTTTCTCCTCGTTACCTTTTCTCCTTTCCTTCTCAGAGGAATAGGTAGCCATTGCACTCTTGCCCTGGGCCATTAAAGACTGGACATTCCCTGTGTTCTGGGCCACCGGAAATCATAGGTAATGAAGTGTAGAACAGCACATCTACTCTTGAATAAAGTTAGCAGGCCAAATAAAGCCCACAGCAGTTGGGGGATGAGTTCAAGTGGTCAAGCGCTCGCTTAGCACGCGACAGGTAGCCGGATCCATGCGCACGTTTTCCAGGTCTCACTATTTGTATTCCCGGCTCTCCGGCTCTCCAAGTGAATGTCAGACTTGCGGACCTCTTGAAAATAACGAGAAAATACCGCACATTTGAAGCGTTTACTGGTTGGAGACCAAAGAGCCTAGGGAGAGTGCGCTGGCAATGGCTCCTAAACGTGCCACAGATTTGTCTTATAAATTGTTTTCTCTTTGTTCAAAGGAACTGTGATCCCAAGAGGGGGGAACATACTCAGTTGTTCTTTTTCTCCCTGTTTTTTTCCTGCAGATTGGCCCAAAATGCAACTCTGCCCTGGAAAGTAGGGTCATTAAAGCCCAGCTTTCTTTCCAAGTAACCAGAAAGTACTGCTGATATTGTGGAAAGCAAACCCATGAAGTGGTCTGTGAACTCCTTGGGCACGCCCCTGAGTTGTAAATATTTAGCTGTAAGGAGCAAAATCAAATATCAAAGGTATTTTTTTCCTAAATTAAAAATTTGTTTTATGATGCTACTTATATGAGGTACCTAGTGTAGACAAATTCTTAGAGACAGAAAGTAGAAAAGAGGATACTGGGGACTAATGGGAAGAGGGAAATGTAGTTATTGTTTAACTGGTACAGAGTTTCTGTTTGGGATAATGAGAAAGTTCTGGAAATTAACAGTGGTGATGATTGCCCAACATTGTAAATGTACTTAATGCCACTAAATTAAATACTTAAAATTTTAAATTGTAAAATTTATATTATGCATATTTTACCACAATAATATAATAGTTTTGTTTTTCATGTAACTTAGTGCATAGTCTCATCATCTGTTTTCTCCACACCAACTCATCCATTCCTTTATTCACTGAACAAAAACTTATAAATGTCTAGATTTATTCTTCCATCCATCAGATATTAATTCAGAATCTCTTCTGAGACTTCTCCCTTAAGTTTAAGACTTCTCCCTCGATTCTCTACAACCAATGTCTTGACAAATATTGCAGATCCTTCCTTCCTACACAACCTCTCTAGAATCTTTTTCTTTCTTCTCATTCATCTATCTTCTCTTTATCCATTCTACAATGTTTAAGGAGGATGTATTCTACCACATGAAGTATAATGATGTCTGGAGCTGCAGAGAGACTCATGATGTTCACATCAGGAGCTGACAGAATGAACCTCAATCCTTTAATCTTTTGAACTTCTTTCCCTTTCTTTCCAATTCCAGTTTCCCATTTCCAAGATCTTTGGCAATTCAAAACTAAACACCTTTTCCTAAAATATTACTTTGATGATGTAAACTGTCTGAAATTTTATCAAGGGTTCTTAAGCCTCAGCAATGCTTTCCCAATCTCTCCAGCTTAAAACAAGAACCTTTCAACCTCTTGGAAAAAATGAGAAAATACACACCAAACGCAGTGGTAATTAAGATGCTAATATGGTTCATGATGCATGGGCACAAACAGTACAGGGCTGCCCATGGCTCTACTGGCATTCAGTATAGTATAGATCTACCAATTTGTAATTTGTTCTCTTTTTCTTCCAGGACCTGTGATACCAAGTGACATACCCAGTTGCTTTTCTTCTCAGTTTCCTCCTGCAGCTTGGTCTTAAATGTGGCAAGTCCTGAGAAGTACAGGGCACAGCTACCAGGGTAAATAAAGCCCCAGCTTTCTGGTCAGGGGACTGACCGGGAGTCCCAAGTAACCAGAACCTACCAAGAAAGACACTGTGGAAAGCAAACCCAGGAAGTTCTTTGTGAACTCCTGGGTGTACCCAAGAGCTGTGAAGAAGAAGTGGCTCTGGTCCTTTACTTACCTAAAAAGAGCTTGACAACTGAACTAAGTGATAGCCTGCTCCCCAGTCCACATTAGTCATACTCTGGAGATCTCCAAATATTATAGTATTGTAAAGGGTTTGAAAATAGTACTGACTTTGAAGCCACAACACACAGAAGGCTGGTCCCTACTTGAAATTTGAACACAAGGCAGTCAAGTGCCTGCAAAAACAAAAACAATATTATCCCCAACATTTCAATGAGATACAATCTCACCACTTAATACAAAAATGTCCAGGTTACAATCCAAAACTATCCAGCATATGAACGACCAGGAAAATCTTAATTCACTTAGGAAAAGACAGTTAACAAACCAATATAAAAATGATACAAGTGGCAGAATCAGCAGAAAAATACTTTAAAGCAATTATTCTAAAAATACTCAGTGAATTAGGAATGCATCCTCTTTAAGTGTATGGAAAGTTAGAAAGTCTTGCCAAATAAATGAAAAATATAAAGAAGACCAAATTGAAATTTTAGAACTGAAACTTAACCAAAAAAAAGTTAACCAAAAAACCTTAACAAAAACTTTGAAAAATCTAGATGATCTCAGTAGCAGCATGGATGTGACCGAGGAAAGAGTCTGTGAACTAGAAGCTAGAACAATGGTAAGTAACCAATTTGGACAATAGAAGAAAAAATTTATATTAATAAATTAACAGTGCTTCAGGTAGGGACCAATTAAAAAACCTAATATTTACATCATCATCCTAAAAGAGGAAAAGAAAGAGTGCTTCAAAAAAATAGTTTTTTGAAAAATTAGTGACTGAAAACCTCTTGAATTTAGCAAAATTAAATCATATTTAAGAAGTTCAACAAATCTCAAGCAGAATAAACCCAAAGAAATCCACATCAAACTTCTGAAAACTAAAGAAAAAAAAATTTTGAAAGCAGCCAGAGAAAAATAAAATGTAAACCACAATTTCAAATGATTGTGGTTAAACAGAAACCATGAGAGCCACCAATAAATATCACAACATTTATTAAATGCTGAAGGAAAAGACCTGTCAATCCAAGGGTGAAATAAATACATCTCACTTGAAGATAAACTGAGAATTCATTGCTAGCAGAACTGGTAGAAAAGAATTAGCAAAAATTAGAGATAAGAAAAAAAAATGTCCAAAGGAAACTTAGAATATCACCTATTAAGGAATAATAGCAGAAATAGAAAATATCTGGGTAAATATAATAGACTACTATTCTTCTGTTGAGTTCTTTAAAGTATGTTTGATGATTGAAAATAAAAATTGTTAACATTATCTAATGGAGTTTTTGTTGTATCTAATTATCTATACCTAACAGAAAGGGGCAAGGGTAAAGAGACTTAAATGTTGAGGTTTCTATATTCAACTGGAATAGTAGGATATTGACTCTAAAGTAGTCTGTGAAATGTTAAGTATGTATACAGCACTCCCTAGACTAATTACTAAATAACTCAACAAATAGATATAACAAAAAACTCACAAAAAACAAATTAATATAGAATATTAAAAATGTTTAAATATGCCAAAATGTTTAAAAATGCCAAAAAGAGGTAGGAAAAGGGAAATGGATGAAAAACAAAGGGAACAAACCATAAATGAATGATAAAATGGTAAATCTATATACAAACATATCCATAATAACATTAAATATAAGTTGTCAGAGTACATCAATTACTGACTGGAGATTGTCAGAAGGTATTAGAAATAAATCATGGTTAAACTATGTGCTGACTATGAGAAGATCAAAATATATGACATAGGTGGAGTAAAAGTAAAAGAATGGGGAAAATAAAACTATGAAAGCCAAAATAACAAAAAAAAGCTGAATTGGCTATGTTAATACTAGACAAAGCATATTTCACAATAAAGAATTAGCCAGATGTAAAGACAGATATATAATTATAAAGTGTCTATTCGCCAAAGGGATGCAACTTTCCTAAATGTCTATGCCCCTGGCCACAGAGCTTCAAAACTCAAAACACAAAAGTGGATAAACTAGAAAAGAAAAATAGAAAATCTAATTATAGTAGCAGATGGTAACACTCCTTTTTCAGTAATTTATAGATTTAGTAGACAACAAATCAGCAAACATATTGAAGAACTGAACATTATCCACCAATGAATTGACTTTTTGGAACAAAATCACAATTTAGGTAAAAAGAAGAGCCAGAGAATTAAGAGAAAAGCAAGATCATATCATAGCTAGGAAATCAGCAATGGTCAGAGTGTAGAAGAATGACACTTTATTGAAAGTGATATTTTTGAAAGACATATTTAGCTGTAAATGCCAGGGAGACTGAAAATGGCAAATGTGAATGTGGATCATCCCTGGTCCATATTAATCTGCCACCTCTTGATGTCTGAGGTGATTGGATTTCTTCTGAATTTCCTGAGCCTACTACACTACCAGACAAAGAACACCTTCCCAGTAAATATGTATTGAATGAGTGGAAAGATATTAATTCAAAGGAGTTGTGTAACAATAATATTAAGTATTTGACAAATTATCAGATGTGGTATTTGAAAGAGGAGAATGAGTGAGTTGATTTGGGAGTCAAACCCCAAAAGGTAGATAAAGAGGAGATTTGGAATTAGATATTTGCTGTATGAATGAATGAGCTACTGTGCAGAAGAACTGGTAAAGAGACCATGAGCTGGAAATGAGAAAAAAAATACATTTTGAACTTAAAAAATCTGCTTATCCAGTCAGGCTTTGCCGCTTAGCAGCTCTGTGACCTTAGGAAGCTCACATCTGAGCTTCCATTACATTTGGAAAGTGCAGATTAGGAGACATATTTTTGTGTCCAAATTCAATTGAATTATAAGAAGAAAACTCAAATCTTAGTATAATTAATGTACAAAATTGTAAAAGAACAAAACAAACAAACAAAACCTCCAAACAAGGAGGTTATTATTGTAAGTTCAGTTTGTGTTTTTTGTAGAGGGAATGTCTCCAGTTAGGTATTATAGATGGAAGTGGAGATAAAATCGTAAGACAAAGTAGTATGGACAAAAGACACATTGGAGGACTATTTCTTGGCTCATTCATTCACGCGGTTGGTCAGACCAATGAACTGTTTGTTAAGTGAGCACCTTCTGTGTTTGTTTTCAGCAGAGGAGACCATGGGAGGTGGAAGTAAGAGTGACTAAGATTTATGAGGGAGGGAAAAGCCAGGTCACTGGGCCACATAAGAAAAGAGCCGCCAAAGACAGGTATAATCCAAAGACAGGTCCCTGGTCCCCCAGCCTGGACGGTTCTATCAATAGGTGAATCCTGGACAGGCGTGAACTCCACTGGTCCTGGGGGTGGAATTGCTTAGGTGTAGCTTTGGCTGGTGCGTAGTAATTTCCAAGTGGCATTACTTACGTTCTGGGAAACCTAGCAAGTGATAAAGTAGCTGTACTAGCGAAGAAGCATTGATATTCGTAATGTCAAAGCTAGCGGAGCCATTGTCTTCTTAGCGTAGTCAGCAGCGCGTCAGTCTCCTAATCTGAAGGTCATGAGTTCAAACCTCAGAAAGGGCACACTTTTGAAGTTCTCTCTCTCCCCCAACAAACAAATCAAACATTCTCCCAGACAAATCACGCAATACTAACGCTGTGTCTTACCAGACGGTACGAAAATCACTTGCTTCTTTTCAGCTTCCCAGTGGAAATGGGTGGTGGACAGATTTAGATTACACCGCAACCTGCTAGCTGTCTGATAGAATTGGTCTTCCTGTAGCTCGCACTGGACGCAGGGGAAATTTCTATTCCGACTTCATGCTCTAAACGGCACCCAGCCAAAATTAGCAGTGGACAGAGTGCTTCATTTCTTTAATCATACAACCAATATTTCTAGAGCACATATCTTCTTAGGTGACTGTTTGGGCAGCGATTCAAGAGGGAATAAAACGCAAATATTCCCGCCCTCGTGAAATTACATCCTACTTGGGAGGAGTAGGGAGAAACAGGAAGCAAACAAGAAAAATGCATAGAAGTTATGTGACCAAATCTATTGTGAGGGAATCATTAGGTAACAAAGGTGTCGGCGGTGTCCAACTGACACATTCAGCTTTCAGGGGAAAGTCAGGGAGGTGGTCACCTGGGAGACATCATTTAGCCTCCTCTTCCTCCAGTCGTCTTGCTGGTCCACTTGTGTCCTAAGCTTTCTGTTACAACACTCTCATGAGAGTAACTGTTACCTGTCAAAGCAACTGGGGGCTATGAGAGCTTTTTCCATGTGAGGCTACTTGGCTTGGTTGGATAAATGATGGTACACGAGGACTGGGATGGTAAATCTTTCATATTTCTTCTTCATATGGAAGATGAGGACTGTGGAATTCTCTGGGTGCATTGACAGTACCTAGAGATGAGTCTGAGCAGTTCCATTAGCTACTGCTTTGGCTGCCCTGTGGCATGCTGGCCACTCACACTGGGCTTGTGTCATAGGTGCTCACTAGGGGTTTGACTAGTAGATTTGAAGATGGAGGTCAGAACCAGGGTTCTCTTCCTGGATAATGCAGGCTTCTCTCAAAGTTTTCACATAGTCCCTGGGTGAGGACAGAGACCTAAATGAGCTTGAAAAGCAGAAAGCCTTGCCAAGAAATCCCGTAATCTGAGGATATAGCAGAATCTTAGTACAGAGATGAATTCTCAAGTCAAGAGGGTTAAGCAGCCAATCTGACCAGAATATCCGTGATGGAGAGAAACAATCTTGTTTTCATATCCACATTTCAAAGTGGAAGTCATCCACAGAAATCTATCTGCCTTTCCATTTGAATGGCATATATGGACCAGGGTTCTTATCTGTTGACTCCCAGAAGGAAAGGAAATAAAGAAATCTATAGTTTTTTTCAGCTTGGAGAAAAGCCCTTCCCCATTATATCTGACTCACAAATCATGTAGATGTGTAGGATGGGAAGGAATTCTGACTCCCAGAGCTTTAGTGTTTTTTGTTATTTACCTTTCTTCTTTCTTTAAAACTAAATGCTAAGTAAAAGACCTGTTTTCCATAGTTTTCAATGGTCTCTTAAAATTCTTCCTTCTCCTCCCTCTACTTAATCCTTGTCCCAGGATCCCAGTATCTGCCTATGCCAACTTTATATAGAGATCAGGGCCATATTTGGAAGGGATCATGGTGCAGATGTGAGGCGCTAAGAGGCCACCCCACCTCTTCCAACTGCCTGGCCATATTTCCAAAAGTAAGTAACACTCTTAGCCCTATTTTTAAGCAAAATAATGCAACCTGTGAGAGAACCCTACAATTCCAAAGAATAACCCTACTACCCTATTAGGACCTTTCTCTTCCCTTCTGGCAACTCAAGAAAGTGAAATTGTGTCAGAACTACATCAATTCCATGGCAGAACACTGTAGGTTTTCCTTTCCCCTACATTCTCTGACAGACACAATAGGTTTTCTTTGTGCTTTTGCCTGGGCTCATGTTGGAGAAGCTCTGCTCTCAGGTGAGTCAAGGACCCCATTATCATAGTACTGGCAATGACAATCCAGATAAAAACATTCAAAAATGGCTGCACATTTATTTTTTAAAAAGTAGGTGGTTTTTAATTTCCACATATAGAACCTGAGATAAATTGTTTTCCTCTTTTCAAAGACAGTTTACATTTTATTACAATATGGGGGAAATACCAGCATGTAATACTAGAAAGGTATTCCATCCCCATTATTAATCAGATCATATGAGACCAAAAAATGTTAAGGGAATAGAAGGAGGGTCATGATTTTGCTGTGCTGAGTAGTGGGACAAACCATGGATTTACCCCTTTGCTGGCAACCTTTTCTCTCCTTCAACTTGAGCTAAAGCCTCTAAGACCCCAAGAATCCTATGGATGATGCTCATAAGGGCCCTGTGAATGGCTTGTTGTTTGGCAAACCCAACATTTGTTTAGGCCACTGGTGCAGGGTCTTAAACTGGCAAGAGAAAAGTGTTGCATTTTAACTCTGATGCTCTGTGGTAACTGGGCTTCTGTGCAGGCTGGGTTTTCAGCTGTCAACCAAGATCCCTTCTTTACCTGTTGGCTCCTGATCTACATCTCCTCTACCTTTAACTGAGACTTAGCAAGGTGCCGGTTTCATGGCACTCAGCCCCAAATCAAATGTCACTTTGCTAGAGATGTTACCTTCCTAAAGCCACTTATTCATGATTTCTCCCCATCACATAAACATATTGTATCTCCTTCATAAACACTGTGTGTTTTAGAAAGTGTCTTATAAAGTTATTTGTTCCTAATTTTCTATTTCTCCTCTGGAATGGAAACTCCTTTAGACTCAAACCACTGTTTGGCCTCACTTTATCCTCAGTGCCTAGAGTTAAGTCATGCAATATGGTTACCACCTTGAAATGGAGATAATGGGTAAGGATAAGGAACAGATGACTCAAATACAAACTTGATAAATCATCCTGCCACATTCCCAAAATATTCATCTCTGCACCTGCTGATTCATTTTTCTCCCTTTTTATGCTTTATCCAATAGTATGAATTTTACCAGTGACTGACAATTTATTTATAATGTATAATTTTTATGTTTCTCCAGTCAGAAGTTTTTAAATTAGTGAAAAAGAAAGTAAGGCATAAGTGACCACAGATATTTAGGACTCATCTTTATAACCCAGTCAACAGCTGTAATTTGAATGCTGGGTGAAACTAGATCAGAACTAAAAGCCTAGTGCCTTTGCATGCATGTTCCTGGAACCATTTCCTTCTGCACAGCTCCTTCATTTCCAGTTTCATTCTGTTCTCCACAGGTAAAGCCCTAAAATAATACCTCTATCTTCTGCTCCTTCAGGGGAGTATCAAGATGAAGAGGGCTGCAGGATTTCACTAATAAAGCTTGTGAGGATTCTTACAAGCAGTAGACCACAAATCTGTAATGTTCTGTGAGCCTGAACACTGACAAAGAACAGTGTGAGGGAGGAAGAGGAGACAGTGGTCACATTCATAATGCTGACAGTGTAAGCACAGTTGCCTTTTCAGGGTAGTCAATTGTCCTTCAAAACACCTCTTTCTTTTGAGGGCCAGTGATAAAATGATAACATATCTGATAACAGGTTGTAAAAAATTCCTTCCTCAATTTTCTTTTATCGTAAGGGTGGAAGGAAGGTGATGTGCTCATTTCTATTTTACATGTTATCAAAACAACTCCCTAGATGGATTTCTGAAAGTTAGCTTGTCAGAGCTTGCTCTCTGATGAAGGGATAGTGCCATTGCTTCCCCTTAAAGGCTGAATAAAAAGAGGCATCTGCAGGCTGGGAGTTACTAGGAGATTCCCTCTTGCCATTTCCTCTCTCTCTGATCAGGGAAGGATGACAACAATGAGGGACTTGAAATACAGACTAAGAAAGATTCAAAAGGAATAAAAAAGAATCAGGCACAAATCCTCTTCTAGATTCTTTTGTACAAATCCATTTTGCCTGGGAAAATGTACCTTAATATGCATTCATATTCTATTTCTTCATCATCTATTTTGTTTTGTTTTATGTTCATGTTCACAAGAAGCCTGGTGCTACCAAATAAATGAGAAAATCAGTTAATGGCAACAGAACTGTACTGAAATCTCTCATAAGATATTGAGAGAAGTTTCCTTAAAAGTGAATAATACTCTAAATACAAGGACTTTCTCAGCACTTGGTGCTAGCAATTGTAACGAATATTTTTTAATTTTTATGTAAGTTGGTTGATAGAGCTTTTCTGCTACCCTAAGTATCATGATCCCAATTTTATAGATGACAGTGGAGCTCTGAGGAGTTATTTTCCTCAGATCATGCAGCTGTAAAGAGCAAAACCAGATACAGAAAAAAAAATTCTTTCCAAATTAAAAAAAACAAAAAAACAATGAGCATTTGCTTTAACCTGACACATAGTCTCACCATCTGTTTCCTCCACACCCATTCACTCATTCATCCTTTCATTCACGTAACAAATGCATGTCAATGAGTGGATTTATTCTTCCATTCATCAGACGTGAATTCAGAATGTCTTCTGTGTCTGCTACCCCAGGCTCAAGACTTCCCTGTGCCTTTGTCTCTTTCTCCTCTTTCAAATCTGCACACCCAATGTCTTGACAAATAACTGTAGATTCTTCCTGCGCAACCTCTCCAAAATATTTTTCTTCCTATTCATTCATCTCTCTCTCCATCCATTCTCCCATGGTTTGGAGGATGTATTCTGCACCATCAAGTGAAACAGGAACTGGAGCTGCAGCAAGAGTCACCTCAGGAGCTGACAGAATGGATGTGGATAAACCTCAATCCTTCCAAATCTTTATAACTTCTGTCACTTGATCCCCTATTCCAGTTTTCTCATTTCCAAGCTTTTTGACCTTCAAAGCTAAAGACCTTTTCCCACAATGTTACCGTGATTATTTAAGCCATGTGCCTGGAATGTTTTCAATGACTCTTAAGCTTCTCTAATACTCTCCCCAACGTTTCTCCAAGTGTCTAGGTTTTGCAATCACTACTTCCTTCCAGGTGTATTTTACACACACACACACGCGCACACACACACCTCACTTACACAGGGATATTTCTTCACTCAGCAATGCCACATCCATACCAGTTGTCTTCACCATGTGTTCAATCCTCATGTGCATCTCTCAATGGACATTTTTTGATTCTTTCACTCTGATATGATCTTGCCTCTTAATTCTTTACGGTTGGTTGTTTACTTCCTTCTTCTTTTCTTCCCTTCCTTCCTTCCTTCTTCTGTTCTCAAAGGAAGTGTGGTTATGTGACTTCTACACGACACACCTCAGCAACAATGGAACACACATCTCCGATGTAAGGAACAGAAGCGCTGCCCCGAGAGTTTCCGTAGTGTAGCGGTCATCCCGCTGGCCTTCTGCCCAAGAGGTCCTCATTCGAAACTAGCACGAGCTTTTTGCCTTCCAGAAATAGCCACCACCACCACCTCCCGGTTCCCACCTCCTCCTAGGTGGTCCCAGCTACGTGGAACGAGTGATAACCCTCACCCCCTTCTTCAGATAAAATCATGGAATCATCCTGCGATATCCGTACCTCATTAGCTGGGCAGTTCTGGGTGGGTCCTCCTAAGCGGAGGCATTTCTTACGTTCCGGAATATCCGAAACTTGACAAGTTGGCGGCGCCAGAGTTTTCCCTTGTTACCTCTTCTCTCCCTCCCTCCCAGACAACAGGCGGCCACTGCGCTCTTGCCCTGGGCAGGCAGGAAGATCCGCTCTTCGTGGAGCCCTGGTTTCACGCTACAAATCGTAAAATGCGCCGTAGTTTAGGTATCCCACGAGCGACTAAGACGGGCGCCGCGGGCCGGGGAATTAGCTCAAGTGGTAGAGCGCTCGCTTAGCATGCGAGAGGTAGTGGGATCGACGCCCACATTCTCCAAGCTTTTTCGCTGTTCGAATCTCGGCTCTCCGAGCGACAAGGAGCACCCTTCAACCTCTCGGAAAGGACGACAAAATGCACACCCAAGGCCGTTGTAATTTGGACGCTGATGTGGTTCGTGACGTATGGACACCAGCAGTACAGGCTGCCCAGGGCTCTACTGCCATTCGGCATAGTATAGATCTATCAATTTATAATTTTTCTTTCTTCCAGCGCTGGCGATACCACGCGACTTCCCCATTGCTCTTTCGCTCAGTTTCCTCCTGCAGCTTGGTCCTAAGAGAGCCACGGTCCTGAAAATCACAGGGCACAGCTACCGGTAAATAAAGCCCCCGCTCTCTGGTCAGGGGACTGAGACCCGGAGTCCCAGGTAGCCAGAACCTGCCGGGAAAGCAAACCCAGGAAGTTGTCTGTGAGCTCCTGGGCGTACCCAAGAGCTGGGAAGAAGAAGTGGCTCTGGTTAAACGACCGACCTAAAGAGAGCTTGAGAACCGAACTAAGTGACAGCTCGCTCCCCAGTGCACACAGGGGCCACACTCTGGAGATCTCAAACATTATAGTTTGTAAAGGCTTTGAGAATGGTATCGACTTTGAAATCACAGCGCACAGGAGGCTGGTCCCTACTTGGAACTTGAACACAGGGCAGTCAGGTGCCTACAGAAACAAAAGAGCAATACAATATACCCCTAAGGATTTCGGCCAGACACAGAGTCATCACACAGTACAAAAATGTCAGGGTTATAATCCAAGGTTTTTCAGCACACGAGGAACAAGTAAAATCTTAATTCATTTGGGAAAGAGAATCCACGGATAACAATACTGAAACGACACAGATGTTGGAATCATCTGACAAACACTTTAAAGCAGTTATTATAACAATGCTCCAAAAATTAGGGGTAATACCCTTGAAGTGAATGGAAAGTTAGAATGTCTTAGTAAATAGCTGGAAGATATAAACACGGATTTTAAACTTAAAAAGAAAAAATGCATTTGCCAGAACTGTTGGGGGGAAAAACTTCATTGGATGGTCTCGCTTGCAGAATGGAGATAACTGAGGAAAAAGTCAGTGAACTTGAAAATAAAACAATAATACCTAGATAATCTCAACGACCGAGAGAAAGGGTTTTCTTTTCAAATGAACACAGCCTTGGGGACAAATAGAAAAATAACAAAAACCTATTGTTCACATCGTCATAATCCCAGAAGAAGGGGAGAAAGAGATCCTTGCGGGGAAAATACTTTGAAGAATTCATGGTTGAAAACATACCAAATTTGTGAAAAGACATAAACCAGATTAAACAAGTTCAGCAAACCTCAAGCAGGATAAACTTAAAGAAATCAATACCCACACACATCATAATGAAACTACTGACAACTAAGGGGATAAAATCATCAAAGCTGCTGAAGAAAATGAATGAGAAACTACAATTTGTATAATTGTGGCTTTCTGATCTGAAACCATAGGGGCCAGAAAGAAATGTCATAACATTTATTAAATGCTAAAAGAAAAGACCTGTAAACCCAGAATGCTATGTATAGCAAAAATATCTTTCCAACATAAAAGTGAATAAATACATTATAATTTGAACATAAAATGAAAGAATTGATTGCTAACAGTACTGATAGGAAAGAATTAGCAATTATTTCGATAAGAAAAATGTTACCAGAAGGAAACTTAGAACCTCACCAGTGAAGGAACAATAGTAGAAACTGGAAATATCTGGAAAAACATAACAGACTATTATTGTTTTTTTGAGTTATCTAAAGTATTTTTGATTTTTGAAAGCAAAAATTGTAACATTGATAGAGTTTTCATTTTATCTAGAGGTACTACATAGATAACATAAAGGAGTTAGGGTAAAGGGACTTAATGGTGATAAAGTTTCTATATTCAACTTGAATGGTAAGATATTGATTCCAAGTATACTTTGAAAAGTTATATATGTATGTGGTACTTCTTGAACCACTTACTAACCATGTTTTGTAAGCCAAAATAAGATAGGAAGAGGAACATAGAAGACAAAAAGACAAAGGGAGCAAACCATGAATAAATTATTAAATAGTAGATCTATTTACAAACTTATCAATAATAACATTAAATATAAATGATCTAAACACATCAATTAAAAACCAGGGATTGTCAAAATTTATTAAAAAATAAATATACTGACTATAAGAAACACTTTCAATACACTTATATATGAGATTAAAAGTTATATAAGTGGTTGAAACTAAAGACTGGGGAAAGATACATCATGCAAGCATTAATCTATAAAAGTTGAGGTGGATATGTTAAAACCAGACAAAGTAGATCTCAAAGCAGAGAAAATCTCCAGGGATAAAGAAGGATGTTACATAATTACAGGTGTCAATTCACCAGAGAAATCCTAAATGTGTATGTGGAAATAGGGCTTTAAAATTCATAAACAAAAGTGGATAAATCAAGAAAAAAATAGAAAAATCCAGTTATAGTTGCAAATGTCAATGCTGCTCTCTCAGCAATTGATAGATCTAGTAGACAACAACTCAGCAAATATATTGAAGAACTGAACAACACAATCCACCAATAAATCTAATTGACTTTATTTTTTAAATTATAATTTTGGTAGAAAAAGGTGCCAAAGACTGTGCAATAATCAAGAATGGTCAGAGTGTAGAGAGTGACATTATTGAAACATATTTTTGAAAGAGTTATTTAGCAGTAAATGCCAGGGAGAAAGAAAATGGTGAATTTGGATGTCAATCATCCCTTGACCATATTTATCTTGTCTTGTCTTGAGATATGGGGTAGCATAATTCCTTTTCAATTACCTAAGCCTACTAGCACAGAACACCTGGCACAGAACACCTCCCCAGTGAATATGTATTGAAAGAGTAGAAAGGAACAAATTGATTCAAAAGAGTTATACAAGAATAATATTCAGTATTTGGCAAATCATTTGATGTAGTGTTTTAAGGAGGAGATTGAGTCAAAGTTGACTTGGAAGTGTAAGCCCAAAAGGAAGGAAATGAGGAGGTTGGGAATTAAATATCTGGTGTATAAATGAATGGGCTGCTTATGCAGAAGAACAGGCAGAGACATCGTGAGATGGAGCAGAGAAAAAAAACACTCAGTTTTAGAATGTAAAAAATCTGCTTCTCAATTCAGCCTTTACCACTTAGCAGGTCTGGGACTTTTTACTTAACTTACAGGAGCCTCCACTACATCTGGGAAGTGTAGAGTGATGCAAAACATAGTCTTATTGCTGAAATTCAATTTGACTATATGTGAAGTAAACTCAAGAAATTTCTTAGTATAATTAATGACCGGCAAGATTGTAAAACACACACAGGTTATTATTATAAGTTCCATGTTGTTTGTGGTATTTTGTTTGTTTGTTTTGTTTTTGTTTTTTTGTAGATGGAATGTCTCCACTCATGTAGATGCAAGTGGAGATAGAGAGTAAAACAGAGTAGTATGGACAAAAGACACACTGGAGGACTATTTCTTGGCTCATTCATTCACGCGGTTGGTCAGTCCAATGAACTGTTGTTAAGTGAGCACCTTGTATATTTGTTTTCAGCAAAGGAGACCACGGGAGGAAGAGTGACTAAGATTTATGAGGCAGGGAAAAGCCAGGTCATTGGGCCACACGAGAAAAGAGCAGCCAAAGACAAGTATTATTGTCCCTAGTCCCCCAGCCCGGACGGTCCTATCAATAGGTGAATCCTGGACAGGCGTAGACTCCACTGGTCCTGGGGGTGGAGTCGCTCAGGGGTAGCTTTGGCTAATGTGTAGTAATTTCCTAGTGGCAATAATTACGTTCTGGGAAACCCAGCAAGTAATAAAACTGTCGTGTTAGAGAAGAAGCATTGATATTTGCAACATCAAAAATAGTAACAGTACTGCCCTCTTAGCGCAGCCGGCAGCGCGTCAGTCTCATAATCTGAAGGTCCTGAGTTCGAACCTCAGAGAGGGCACACTTTTGAAGTTCTCTCTCTCCCCCCACATGCAAATCAAAAGTTCCCAGACCAAATCAGGAAACACAAATGCTGTGTCTCACCTGACAGCCCAAAAACCATTTCCTCCTTTTCAGCCTCCTGGTGGACAGATTTAGATTACACCACAAACTGCTAGCTGTTTGATGAAATTGGTCTTCCTTTCCAGCTCGCACAGGACACAGGGGAAGTTTCTATTCCAACTTCATGCTCTGAACAGCACCCAGCCAAAATTAGCAGTGGCAAAGTCCTTGATTCTCTTAATCGTACAACCAATATTTCTAGAGCACATATCTTCTTAGGAGACTGGGCAGCGATTCTAGAGGGAATAAAACGCAAATATTCCCGCACTTGTGAAATTACATCCTACTTGGGAGGAGTGGGGAGAAACAGGAAGCAAACAAGAAAAATGCATAGAAGTTATGTAACTAAATCTATTGTGAAGGAATCATTAGACAATAAAGGTGTTGGGAGCGTCAATCGGCCTCTCACACTGAGCTTTTGCCATATGTTCTTACTAGAGGTTTGACTAGTGGATATGCAGATTGAAGTCAGAACCAGTGTTCTCTTCCTGGATAGTACAGACTTCCCTCTAAGGTTCCCCATAGTCCTTTGGTGAGGAAAGAGTCCTAAATTAGCTTGAAAATTGGTGCTTTTTGGGAAAAGCAGGAAGCTTTGCCAAGGAACCCCATAATCTGAGAATATCTCAGGGTCTCAGTACAGAGATGAGTGCTCAGGAGCTCGAGATGGTTAAGCAGGCACCCCGATAAGATTGGCTGGTCCATGGTGGAGAGAAACAACCTGTAAATTTGTGAGTTTCACTCCACAATTTGAATGAACCAGAGTCGGTACTTATTGCCCTTAAGAAGGACAGGAAAAAAGGAAACATTTTATTTTCCAGGAATGGAAAAAAGCCTTTTCCCATTATTTTAGAATAAATTTGCACAGATAAATAGCATTTTTATTCAACATTGTGCTAAATATTCTAACCAGAGCAATAAAGTTAAGTAAAAGACATCTAGATTGGAATGGAAGAAGTAAAACTATTTTGCAGATGACATGATCCTGTATATAGAAAATTCTAAGAAATCCACTAAAAATGCTTAGATCTAATAAGTGAGTTCAGCGAGGTTGCAGGCTAGAAGAGTGATATAAATATATCAGTTGTATGTCTCTATACTAGCAATATACAATCTGAAAATAAAAGTAAGAAAACAATTTTGTTTATTCTTTATTTAAAATAATAGAATTCTTTAGAATATATTTAGAAAAAATGCACAGCACTTATACTCTTACAACTACATATAATTATTAAAATAAATAGAAGATCCAAAAATTTGGAAAACGTGATGTCAGTACTCCCCAAATTTATCTATACATTAATGCAATTCCTATCAAAATTCCAGCTGGGATTTATTTATTTATTTATTTATTTATTTATTTATTTATTTGAAATTTGAGAAGCTGATCCTGAAATTCACTTAAAAGTGCAAGGGATTTAGGACAGCCAAAATCATCCTGAAAAAGAACAAAATTAGAGGATGCACATTTCCAAATTTAAAACTTATAATAAAACAACTCTCATCATGACAATATGGTACTGGCATCAGAATAGACATATAGATCAATGGAATAGATCAAGAGCCCAGAAAAAAACTTTTACATTTACAGCCAATTGATTCTGAAAAGGCTGCTAAGTCACTCCAATTTGGAAAGAATAGTCTTCAACAAATGATGCCAATGCAACTGGAAGTCCACATACAAAAAATGAAGTTGTACTCCTTCATATTTCATACAAAAATTAACTCAAAATTAACAACTTAAGAATAAGAGCTAAAACTATAACTTTAAGATGAAAATATAGGAGCAAACCTTCTAAGAATAAAAGTTCTTTTTTTTCAAGGCATTTTGAAACCATTACAGTTGACCCTCTGTATCTGTAGGGTCCACATTCATGGATTCAACCAACTGCAGATTGAGAATATCAGAAAAAAATGCACCTGTACTGAACATGCGCAGATGTTTTTCCTTGTCATTATTCCCTACATGATACTGAATAACAACTATTTACCTAGCATTTACCTTGTAGTAGGTATTATAAGTAATCTAGTGATGATTTGAAATATACATGAGGATGTGTATAGGTTATATGCAAATACTATGCCATTTTATTTAAGAGCCTTGAGCATCTGTGAACTTTAATATCTGAGGGGGTCCATGGATACTGACAAACAACTATATATCATTATATACTATTAATGTCATTTTTGCTCATATTACTACAACTCAATTAGAGTTGTAGTTCAAATTATTTCTATGATTGGTAGATTGGGAAGACTAGTTATAGCCACAAGTACATTGCTGAAATGAGTAGAGAAATTCATTAGATAGTTTTTCTTTTATTTCCTGGATGGGGATAGAATAAGATATAGCAGATACTGTTTGCTATTTACCCATCAACAATTTAGATTTATCACCATTCCTTCCATTCTCCTTTTCTAAAATAGAAAGGACTTGTTTCAGCACTTGAACTTCTTTCCA